CTTCACGCAAAAACTCACAAAAACCTAATGAGATCATATCTCTACTATTTATACAAGTATAACTCGTATAAAAAGTAGGATTTTCTAAAAGATAAAAGTTAACTTTCCTTATCTCAAGAACACGGTTTAAGTAAAACATATTTTGAGAAAATCTTTTTCCGGAAGATAAAGAAAGATATAATTAAAAGGAATAATATCTTTTTAACAAAACAGAAACAAATTTAAATAAAATCTTTTTCTAAAATCTATCTTATTATCTTTTCCAATTTTATCTAATTTGCCAATTTATCTTATCACGCTTCTAATAGATTTCGTGCATATCTACTTAAAATATTTAACAATAAATCTAAAAGATAAAATCTTAACTAAATTACTATTACTGTGCCGCGCTTCTGTAATCTTAAATTACTTGGGCTTCACGCAGACCAGGAGCAGGTTCCTGCTGTCACTCGATCTCCAGTCCTCAATTGGAACTTCGCAGACTAAGTTCCTTCTGGAACTTCCTGTCTTCAGCTTACATCTTCCAAGTTCTTGTTAGGGAACATTCCTATTAAGAAACTCAGTTCTTGTTAGAGAACTCTTCATATTGTTTGTCTTTTCATTAAAGGTCTCTTCATGTCTTCATAGTCCAAGTACTTTTCCACCTCCAAGGTCTACTAAACCTATACTATTTAAACACTTAAAAACCTTTATTAGTTGAGTGTGCTTTAGTTTAAGTTCATCATCATGAAAACCTTTAAGCTTCAACAGTAATTAAAATAGATTAGAGGGAGGAAGTATGTACATCTGTTTATTTGTTCACATTCTTCATTGTGTCTTTTGTTCTACATTTATGGCCGTGTTGCCCGTGTATCCGATCCCTTTGTTTCCAATTAATCTCAACACGTCGATCTTTAGCTATACACTTAATCTTGTATAACTCGACTAGACTAATAGTCAACATTCTAGCTACTTGATCCGGTTGAAACCTTACAACTTTGTGCAAATTGAGTAAGAGTAACTATGCTATCATAATGTAGTAAACGTGACAAATTTCATGGTATCGGACTATCGGGAGACAATACACAACACTTTCCAATTCCCAAGAGTTAACCTACTAAGAAACTAAGTGTGCGTACAAAAACAGCATGCATAATTGCACATTGAATTTTTATGCAAGTCTCAAATATCTAAGCCATTTTGCTATCCTATGAATTGTAACATCTACTCCATTGAACATTAATTAAAACCTCTAGTCTATACATTATGCAAGCAAGGAGTTACACTACTCCATAATCTTATGATTTTATATAAGCACTACGTATATTTTGATCGATATTATAATGCTACTATGTTAGCACGTAAGAGCATGTTCTCATTTACTGAACTGTACTAAACTTATTAGAGCTGAACTGAATATTTTATGAGAGAAGGAAATTAAGAACTGAACTGAATTTATTAGAGTTGAAATGAACTGAAAATAATCTGATGAGAACAGAGCTTAACTTGGGAGAATCTTTGCTCTATGAACAGAATCTAAAAAGAAGAGAATAAAATTGGGTGAATTTTCATTAAAGAATAAGGGCCCTGCATAGCTAATTAAGCTAGTATAGGTTGGCAAGAAAAACCCTATATCCACCTTTCTTTTATGTCCTATTTACTGAATTACACTATCAATTTTTTTCAATTTATAGTAAAGCTAACCCGAGAAAAAGAAGGCCTAATTCGAGCAAACAAATAAAAATAAGAAGCTTTTATTCATGTGTTTATTAGGCTACTAATACGTTAGGTTGGTATTGTATTAATTGATTGACGCAGTACACTATTAAGCTTATCTTCCCTTTAATGGTCTTAATGCCTTAAGATGGCAAGATAAAGGTATAGCTTAGCTCCTTCTTTGATATAGTACTCATGTTTAATGTAGAGAACGAAGGTACTAGCTAGGGTGGTGCAATATCTACGAGTAGTTCACTAGACATAGTTGGCATGTGTCGGTTATGTAATTATAAGATGTATCATCATAAACGGGATTTAATTAATTATCTTTAAAAATATGATCATCGTGAAATTCTTCTCAATATGTCTATAATTGAAAATTTCTATAATTAGTTAAATTAAATTTATAAGATAACAACATAACACACATTGAGACTCGAGACCTTATACAACATCTTGCATGGTAGCGACATACACCAAAATTAATATCCAAAATACTCACAAGGGTCGGGAATAAGGAAGAGGCAAAGCACATGAAGTAAGGTGGATCCATGTGATAGGAAGGTTAGAAGACAAACAATTTAGACTTGTGTTGTTATTGTCAACTAATATCTTGTAGACGTTTAAGTAGATAAGGATCATACGATATTATTACTTGTTCATCCAATAACCAAAAGAACCCGCAAATCCTCGGGCCACCTTATATTTCGGAATACTTCACTACATGATCAAATGATTCTACTATATGTTTTATATAAATATATCTAAGGTTTGAAAACTATGTAATAATATAAATGTCAAAATTAATTCACAGGCTTCCTTAACAACATTTGGATATTGATATTATATTGTCTCTGTCAATTCACAGAATCACATAGATTCACGACAGCTAAAAACTTGGAATTTTGATTCAGTTGAACATATCGGAGCTTGGAAATTATTCTATATTGATTTTTTTAAAGTGGTGATACTTGGCCAATCTTATGTATACGGAGTAACGATTTAAATTTAACAGCTATTATGTGCATAGAGTAATGTAGAAGGGAATATATTATTTCAGAGGTCCAACTATCTAAATATAACTGTATTTATCTGCACCAAAAAAATAAATCATATAACTGAATTTATGAGTTACTTGAATAATTGACACATTTGACTTTTTTTTTTTTCTTAACTTTGACAATTTTTTATTGCTATTATATGAAATCAAATGTTAATAAAAACTTTATTCCAATAATATGCATTAAGATAAATTCAACGACTTATTAACATTTTATTTTATATAATATCAAAAAAGACAGTCAAAGTTATTATTAAGGTTAGATCATGCGTTTGTCATGATCAAAGTTAGTTTTGCCACATCAGCAAGTTTGTTAGGACTTGTCCGCTCATATTTTATTTTCTTCATTTATTTCTCCTTGTAATAAATATTGCGCGGCCGTAATTTTATTTTCTCATATTTTGATATTTTCCATTAACGAAATTAGTCGTTAATCTTTGTCAAAAAAAAATAAAAATAAATTATTCCTTAATCTTACTTTCTCTTTCTAAGATTCTTTCTCTCTTTTCTCCTCTTCTTTTACGAATTTTTGGTTTCTTCATATGGTATCAGAGCTCAAAATCCTGGAATTTCGATTGTTTTCTACAGTCGATTATTGATTTGCTTTGTTTTCTTTTGCAATTGTAGTTCGATTGTTAACTTTTCTCCATTTTCGAATCAATTTTTGAAAAAAGTCAAGCGTGTTAATTATTCAGTACGGAGGAGTTATTGGAAAAAGTCAAAACGTTGTACTTCAAAAAAAATATCGAGGGACGATTTATATAGCAATATAATTTGGAATGGTTGATTTTGAAAATAACTTCGTATGTGATTATGATAAGGAAAAAACTGACACTTTTATTATATAGCCAATTGTACCTTGTATAAAGTGAGGAAGCCCCGGTTTATCTTTGTGATAAAAAAAAATATTTATAATATAGCCAAGAAATTAAAAGATCAAATATTTTACTGGAAAAATTAACAACAATAAGTTGAACTATGGGTGGTCTTCCAATATTAAGTTCAACTTTAATAATTAAAAAATAAGCACAACTTTATGGTCACGTTTCCAATACTAAGTCATGACTTGTTGGATGAGTTAATTACCGATTAATGTTCCACGTGTCAAAACATTATTAGTGACATTTGTTTCAAATATTATTTTTTCAATAAAAAAAAGTTTAACTAAATTGTTGTTAAAATCTCACTAACATAATTAACTAATCTAGCTACTTAATGGTATATAAAAAAGTAAATCTAAATAATAAAACACCGCCACCCCAATTGTCGGACCCTAACCCCTGCCAGCAAACCCCACCAACCTCACCCTTCCCGGTGAACCTCACCTAGACCCATCCTTGCTGGCAAAACCCCACCTAATCACTCCTAGCAGCGAATCCCACCCAACCCTTCCCTTGCTTGTGAAATTCCTACCCATTCCCCAACCCGATGCGGCCTTGCCTAGGAAACCCACCCAATCCGTCGACCAAGCCCCCTCCCAACGACGACCCACACCCAAACATTAACGACAATCTCTCCTGCCCCCACCTCGAACCTAAATGTACTATCCTAAATTTTGACCCGCACAAATCCTCACCCGCTCGCAAACCCCATGAACCTTGCTCACAAACGCCCACCAACGCTACCCCAACCCTTGTCGGTGAAGCTAAAAATAACTTTTTTGTACTTAAAGTTAATATTAAGATTAATTTTATTATTAATTAAATTAATTAATATAATATGGAGTAATTAAGAGTTAAGCCCTGTTCACTTCAGCTTAAAAAAATAATATTAAGTAAAAATAATTTAAGTTCAGTAAAAATAAGTTCAGTTCAGCAAAAACAATTTCAATTTAGTTTAAAAAGTTTAATTCAGTAAAAATAATGTCAGTTTAGTGAAAATCAGTAATTTCAAAGAAGAAATATAACATGGAATCAGTAAAAATAATTCCACTTCAATAAAAATAATTTCAGTTCAGTAAAAATAATTTAAGTTCAGCAAAAATAATTGGAAAATTTGTAATTATTAATCCCAACTTTAAGCCATTTACTTTCATTAATCACAACTATCGTTTATTCCTGAATAATCCCAACTTTAGGGGGTGTTTTCTTTTATGAGGTCCAAATTACCGGTGACCTGAAGAAAAGGTAAACTGTTTTTTTGTTTTTTCATATTGCCACATGTCAGCTTTTAAATGGTCAAAATAATAAAAATCTTTTAACAAAAAAAAAGGGTATTTTCATTTATACCACCTTCAAATAATGACTTTGTCGAATTTACCACCTCCAAAAAAAAACATTTACTTTACCACCTCATAAAAAAATTAAACATCAGTTTTACCACCTCATCTGAGCTCAGGTGACGGAAAACGCTTGTGGGGCCTCATCAATTTACTTGGTTACTGTTAAACATCAGTTTTACCTCCAATTTAATTCTTTTAAAATCGATTTCCCTCTGTCTCCTCCTTTTCTCACCTTCCACCTTCCATAATCAATGTCTCACCAAATTTCTCACTTCCTCATCAATTTTCGTCTCTCTTTCCTTTGATTTTTCTTGATTCTCACTGTAACTGCTTCTCTCTCCTTTGAATTTTCTCTTTCTCTCTGTAAAAACTGAAACCCTAGATCAATTTGGGTGGTTGAAATCGAGCTGGAACCACAAAATTGCAACACATCAGCTTCTCTTGTCATCTTCCACAGGGTGAGGGGACCAAAAGCTTGGTAATTTGCTGACAGAAATCGAGATTCCTGACTACAAGAGGTACTTTAAACCCTTTATTAGTACATTTCGTTGGATTTATGGTTTTCAATTGGGGTAAAGTATGCCTTTTTGGGGGAATCTGTGAATTAAATTATTATAAACCCTAATTATGCGAATCTTTGACTGAATTAGAGTGTGCATTTGTTAAATAATTAGTTAATTAGATTTACTTGGTTACTGTTAATTTAGTGCATAGTCAATGTGAATTGCTTTTAATTGCTGTAATTGGTGAATTGGTTTTTGTTGTTTACTGTAATTACTGAAATTGGTTATTGTTGTGTGTGCTTTTGTTGGTGTTGTTACAGAATGGACACAGTGGACTTAAAAATTACAGTAGGGGGTGCCTTTATACCTTCTTTAGCTGGTAAAAATAGGAGGGTGTTAACTTGGGATGGTGGGTGGGTTTATTGGATGAGAAAGGTGGAAAAAAATAAGATAGATGTACACTTTTTGAGGCAAGCAGCTATACATGGGTTTGTGTATGTGAATGTGAAGGTTCCTAGGGGGTTTAGTTGCTGGTATAAACAAAAGGGCAAGTCTTGGGTGAATGGTAAAAGGGAGCTTGTTGATGGTGAGGTGAATGGTTTCCTAGAGTCGGTGAACAAAGAGGGGGCATGTGAGATGTATGTTACCAGTCATGAGCCAATTGAAGGGACTAACAAAACACCCTTCAAATGTATATCTGGGAATGAGCTAACCCCTGCACAAAGGAAGGAACTGAAAAAGAGGTTTGATGGGCCTAAAGTATACAAACCCAGCCCAGAACTTAGTAAGCCCACTGAAGAAGAGCCATTTAGGAGAAGCCCTAGGTTAAAAGGCATTGTTATACATGACAGAGAGGCTGAGGAGAGGCTTCCTAGGGCAGAGAAAGTGAATGCTAATACACATAAAGGGAAGGGTAAACTCACTGCTGCAGATAAGGGTAAGGCTAAGGTTGGGGATGAGACTGGAAATTTTGCTAATTTAGTGAGAAAAATAAAAGAAAGAGTGAGGAGCTTAAGGGATGACAGTGATGTGTTTAGTGATGAGGATGGTGATACAGAGTCTTCTGATTCTGAGTTGAGTGATTTTGAGTTAGTAGTTGATGAGGGAGAGGAGGGCTTATACTCTGATGATGATGAACAGTGGTTGAAGAAAAATGTAGACCATATTAACAGTGAGGTGAAAGGCAGTTTGAGGGGAGTTACTGAAGGAGGGGATCAAAGTGATGATGAGTTACTCTGGTAAGCTTCTATTTAGGTTCTTTTATGTCAGTTTTATGGTGAACTATAATGTATGCTAGGAACATTTAGTTTTGCACATATTTACATGTCTTTCTATTTTGTGAAAACTGTATGCCATGTGTCTATGTTGTGTTGAATGGTTGTCATGTGTGTGGTTGTATCAGTTTGAGTTTGAAGTTGCTATGGAAAGTATCAATTTTTTGGATGAAGAAGCATACCAGTGGTTGTCAAACATTGACCCCCAGCACTGGTCAAGGCATGCTTTCTCTACAAACTGCAAGTCTAACATGTTGTTAAACAACATGTGTGAGACATTTAATGCAGTGATTAGAGATGCCAGAGACAAGCCTATTCTAACTCAAATGGAATGGCTTAGAAGATATAGATGAAGAGGAGTAATGACAAATGGGAGGCAGCAAAGTCTTGGGAAGGTTTACTAACCCCATTTGTCAACAAAGTCTTTGATGGGTTGGAGAAGTATGCCATGACATGTGAGGTTACAACTTCAAGGGATGAAATTTATGAGGTGAAATACAAGGATGATCAGTGCATTGTGGATCTGCAAGAGAGAAAATGCACTTGTTATAGATGGGAGTTGACAGGAATACCTTGTGTCCATGCATTTGCTTGCATAATGGACAAAAGGGATGATCCTGAGTTGTATGTGCACCCACATTACTATAGGGTGACATACTTGGCTGCATATGAGAACCCAATACAGCCAATGCCTGGCCCTAAGAATTGGGAAAAGGTCAAGCTCAGACAGCCTTTGCCACCTATGCTGAAAGTGCAGCCAGGAAGACCTAAGGCAAATAAGAGAAAGCTTGAACCAGGGGAGGGCACTTCTGCAGCACCTGAGGGCAAGAAGCCAAAGGTGATGAAACAATGCAAGAACTGTGGTGGGTTTGGCCACTTTGCCAAAACATGCAAGGCTGAAGCAGCACCAGAACAGCCTAACCCACCTGCAACAAATCCAAAGGGTGGGAGGCCACAGATGCAGACTCCTTGGCTTAAGGAACAGAGAAAGAAAAGTGAAGAGAAAGCAGCAAGACAGGTATTTTGTGTATTTTGTGACTTGAGTGTATTTAGTGGCTTTGTTTCTGAGTCTTGTCATACTGTGATTGCAGGCTGCACTGAAGTTGCCACAATATCAGCCTCCAACAACAGCACATGCTGGGTCAAGTAATGCTGCACCTATAACTGCTGTGTCAAGCCAGCCTGCAACAAGAACAGAGCCTTTGCCAACTCAGCCTGTTACCAGGAGCAACAGGAGCCTGAGTCAGCCCACAAGAGTGCCAACAACTACTCCTCCCAAAGTCAAAATACAGACCAGGTCCAAGCTTCATGTAATGACAAGCAAGAAGGACAAGGATCTCAATCAACTGTGACCCTAGGTCTACTCATTAGTATTTTGTAATAGACAACCAAGTTTATTTGGTAGTTGAACAATGATAGTTGAACAATGATTTTGCACAAAGGTGCCTTAACTTTTGTCTCAGCCAATGTAAAACAATTTCAAACATTGTGTTGCAAGTACTAATACGAATTGTGATATGTTTCTACCAAAAAGTTCCATTTCTCATTGATTTTGTTAAAAGTAGTACAAGAAATGTCATCCCAACATCCACACATAATAATTCAACAAAACACAACATAAGTTGGGGATTTTTTTTGTTTCTAAGCATTCCTAAATGAACCTAAGATCTAAAATACATAGCCAGTACCAAACCAAAACAACAAAACACAACAATAGCATGTACTGTGAGCATTTTCTTTGTTGTTGCATTGCTGCCATGCACTTCCTTGATCATCTTCTTCCTGTCTGAGCTAAGAGCTTTGCATTTCATCTTCAAGCAGTCAATCTCATTGAGCAAGCACCTCCTTTGTCCACTAACATCATCAACTTCCCTCTTCATGTCATTCAGCTCTCCCTTCATTAGTTTCTTGTCCAGCAGCAAGTTGTTAATCACCTCTGTTTGCCAAGGTGTTCCATCTGGTTGATCCACCCACTCAAAAGCTTTACACCCCCTTGACTCAGTCACAGGATCATAGAATTTGCAGGTCCTAAACTTGCGTCCTGGGTTCTCCCTAGTCCAAGCAGTCAGCCTAGACATTGGAACTCCACATTGGCATTTTTTCTCCTTTGAGGGTGACATGCTAACTGAAGACATTCCCTTCTGAAATTCAGTAAGAACAAGAATGAAATTAATTGTATTTGAACACAATCACCATAATATAACCCTAATTTCAATAGCCAATTCACATAACAAAAACCCCCAATCTAATTTAATCTTACATGAACCCTAAGTATTTTAATTCAAATTGGGGTTTAATTGACCTCACAAAACGCCCAATTTCAATTACTCTTAGCAAATGCAACATAATCACGCAACGAATTGCCAAAAAATTACAACAGAAATCACGAAAATTGCTAGAGAATTAACGACAATGGCTTACCTATTTGATGCTTGTTGTCGAGGAGTTCAATTGATTGTTTGATAATTAGAGGGTTTGGGATTGTTAAGGTTGCCCAAAAATACTGATTTGTGAAGAAAATCGCAAAAATTAATCTCCAATCTGCAAGAATTTGGTGTACAAATGAAGAACTAGGTTTAAATAAAAGGGAAATCGAGAGAAATTTGGGAAAAAATCAAAAACTAGCCGTTATGCTGGGCCCCACAAGCGTTTTCCGTCACCTGAGCTCAGATGAGGTGGTAAAACTGATGTTTAATTTTTTTATGAGGTGGTAAAGTAAATGTTTTTTTTTTGGAGGTGGTAAATTCGACAAAGTCATTATTTGAAGGTGGTAAAAATGAAAAAACCCAAAAAAAAATGAAAACCCCTCCCTCCCTTCCAGCCTGTAGACACCGCCACCGTAACCACCTCTCTTAGCCGGCGTAATATTGAATAATCCCAAATTTTTGAAACATGTCCTTCATAGCCCTGCCCCCATATCGGAAAAGCCCTTCCTAACCGACTGCAACTGCTTCCACCCCCAGCCGGCGACGCAACCAGCGCCGACGACCCTCCCTTATCCCAGAATATCCCTCCCTCGCAGAAGCCCAACCCCCCTATCGGAAAATACCTCCCAAACAACCTACACCTGTTCGCGAACCACTAACCCCTGCTTGCTTCTGCTGCGAAAATTGAACCCCCAACCCACCGGCTATTGAGAATTATCCCAAACAACCACCATTATTGCTTGGTGAGCGCGTCGCATTGGTTTCCTGGTGCGTGCGGCGCGGTGGAGCAGCCAAATCGAAGAAGTGGAAGGGAAGGGGGCGTTTTATGGGTCAGGGGAAGGGTTTTGGGGGTGGAAAAGGAAATTTCCGGGCGGGTTAAGGACGGGGAAGGGTTTAAGGTTGGGCTGCAATTTCGATGGGAGGGGGTTTGCTGGTGGCGGCGGCTATGGAGGTTTGGTGGGGCTGCAATTATTTGTTTTTGTTTTTTTAGAAATCAATTTTGATTTTATTTTTTTTGGATTTTTTTGAGCAATGGTATGCTGACACATGGCAAATGACCTGCTACAACAGGTTTGGTAACTGGTAAGGCCTGATAAAAGTCAATACCCCCTAAAGTTGGGATTATTCAAGAATAATCGATAGTTGGGATTAATGAAAGTAAATGGCGAAAAGTTGGGATTAATTATTAAAAATTTTCCAAAATAATTTCAGTTCAATAAAAATAATTTCACTTCAGCAAAAATAAGGTGAAGTGAACGAAGCCTTAATTATGGTGTAAGTTAATTTATAACGGGGTTGACCGATCACAGGTAAAACTACTCATTTATGAAAAATTGACATCAAAGTTGGGCTTATTTTTGAATTAATTAAAGAAAAAAGATATTTGCAATCCTAGGGGTTGCATATAAGAAGCTAAAAGTGAAAAGAATAGACAATAAATAAACATTTATTAGACTGATTTACTCGTGAATTGTCCATAAATTCTCTACTTAATACTAAAAAAAGAAGTATATTGCTGCATATAACATTACCCTTAGGGCTATATATAAGCATTAAATTTACACTTGAAAATCGTAAAAAGTTAAAAAGTCATAAAAATATAAACACTAATACCCTGATTTACGAGTGTTTTTATCATAAATTCCTAATTTTATACAATTTCCAAGAGTGTATTTAATGCTTATACATAGCCCTTAGGGCTACATATAACATTACCCTTAAAATTAAACTTAATATTGGAAGATCACCCAAATTTCAACTTATTGTTGTTATTTTTTATGTAAATTAATAAAAACGCAAACTAGAGAACGAAGTAGTTTGATCTCAAATCTTAGATACCAATTTTGTAAATCTTTGCCAACGAATGAAGTGAGAGATCGTTGACATACATAACTCTAAAGTTAATGCTGTAAATTAATTGGTTTTGATCTTTGAAGGTAATGTATGGGGAGATATTTACACTCAGACCGATATTGTGTGGTAGGCCGATATGTTGCCCGAATCCGGCTCATCAGCAATTTTACTCATATCGGCATTTATGGAGAAAGTATACATATCGGCCTATCGGCGGCGTCGTCCTCACATTTGACACGTGGCGAAAACTACTTCGCACATTACGCTGCCACCTGTCACTTAATCAAGCTATAAATAATCCGATTTTACCTCATAACAAAGGTAGAATTTATTACACACACACTCTCTCTCTCTCTAAATTCTCTCTCCTCTTTTTATAAACACTTACTGACTTAGTCATCGGAGTGGTTATCCCCGGATTTGCCCCAGGGCTAGCTGATCTCTTTTCTCTGTGTAGGTTCTCATCTCGTCGATAGGAGCAGAGTAGGTTATATACTCAGGCTTCATATCTTTGAGTTGGGTCATCGGATCCTTGCAGAAACAATTGGCGCTAGAAGGAGGGGAAGCTACTTAATAGCTTCTATCGCCTAAAAGAGCCTCACATCTTTCGATTTCATTTTAAAAAAAATTGCCTGATCTAGAAATTCAGATTGAAGACGAAACTCATACTCTGGAGGGTAACGAGTTTCATATGCCGATAACCCCAGAAGGATATACTAGGATGGATACAGACCCTATGGCTGGGTTTACATCAGAAGAGCTAGAAACGGCGGCAAGAGTGATGACCGCCATGAGTAGAAAAAGAAAGGAAGTAGGGGCAACCCAAGATGGAGGAGGGGTGCTGGTTATAACTCATGGTAATCACTTCAACCAGGATGGAAGTTCACAAAGACGCCGACATGAAGAGTCACTGATAAGATCGCAGCAGACTCCTAGAGATTCAGAGGTTCAATCCTCAGGTCAAGATGAAAGCACAGGGACTTATCAGCAAGGAGCGGTGCGAAGAGTGGTTCAGTTGAGGGCATCACCATTTGCGTAGAGCATCCTTGATCAACCGATGGAAAAAATCAAAATGCCGACATGTCGGTATGATGGAAAGGGAGATCCTGGTAGATTTATGACCTCATATGAAGGGCACATGATTTTATATACCAATTCTGATGTCGTTTGGTGTA